TGTAGAACGTCTATCAGTGAAAACGAGGAGTAACTGAATCAATGTGTGTGTGAAAGATGATAAAACTTAGTGCACCAAGATTATGTAAGATATTACAAAGATTCCACTGTGCAATATTTCAAATTCAAATGAAGACGCAGAATTTCTATCGGTGGAAACGAGGAATAACCGAATCAGTGTGTGTGTGTGTTGTGTGTGTGTGTGTGTGGATGATAAAATTTATTGTTAGAAAGTATATACGCCCTTATACCTTCATAGAAATATGCAACATCGTTGTAGACGTGAAGGAGCAGCTGCAAACGATAAATGTCCCATTGACACAATACATAAGCGATATCTCTATAACGACCGGTTGCCCCTAATCGTGCGCCGTTCTACCTGCATCCAATTTCCCTGTAACACCTGCGAATCGAGCCAAAATCTATCGGACACGTCTGGTATCAATTTCCCTCGAATTGCACATTACATAGCGACAGCTGTGCATCATCGATCCCGCCGATTGATCCCTTGAAGGGACGTGACTTTCGCACGAACGTGATAACGTAATAACAATCGCAGATTAATAGTAATTGCACAAAAAGTGTATTATTTTAAGAGTCAATGAATCAGTTGTGTGAATATGAATTGGAATATTAGTCGGAATTAATTACCTTAAAACTGAATTGTTTACGTATGATTTATATGATTTATAAGATTCTGCATGAGATTCTGTTACGCGATCCAGATTTCGGCCCCTCGAAACCAGAGAATTCCTTGAACTCCATACCTAACTATCAGATTCCACACGTTCCATAAATTACATAATTCTATACAAGGTATGTCTCATTGCACCACCGTCTGCATATGTGCTTTTGGACTTTATTAGTGTTTTGCTGTTATTGCCCGTAACTGTGAGTGGGATAATGTTTTAGAATCCTGAAGAATCCAAAGTTTTGGAATTTTGGAGCTCCAGAATTTCGACAATGAGCTTGTAAGATTTTGGTGCTACCAAATTCTAGAGTTCTAGAATTCCAGAATCCTGAAGTCCCAAAGTCCTAAAATGTCATGGCTCTAAATGTAGAGTCCTAAAGTTTTTGAACACTAAAGTCCTAGGAATCTAAAGTTTCAGAATTCTAAAATCTTAGAATCCTCGAGACCTAAGTTACAATGCTCTGAATTTTTACAATAGACTTCTAAGATTTTTAGAATCCCTAAAATCATAGAGTGTTAGAATTCCAAGGTTCTAGAGTCCTAAAATGTCTTGGCTTTAGAGTCCTAAAGTTTTTGAACTCTAAAGTCCTAGGAATCTAAAGTTTTAGAATTCTAAAATCTTAGAATCCTCGAGACCTAAGTTACAATGCTCTGAATTTTTACAATAGACTTCTAAGATTTTTAGAATCCCTAAAATCATAGAGTGTTAGAATTCCAAGGTTCTAGAGTCCTAAAATGTCTTGGCTTTAGAGTCCTAAAGTCTTTGAATTCTAAAGTTCCAGAACTCTGAAATCTTAGAATTGTAAACTCTTAGAATCCTAGTTTTAGAGTCCTAAAGTTATAAAATATTTAGTACTTTAAATTTCTACCATAGAAAGCTTTTGAAATTTTTAAAGTTCCCAAATTTCAGAGTGCTAGAATTCCAAAGTCCTAGAGCTCTAAAGTATTGAGATTTTAGAAAACTCTAAGAGTCTTAGAGTCCTAAAGTTTCAGAGCTCTAAATTTCTACCATGGACTTCTAAGATTTTTACAGCTCCAAAATCCTAGAGTGTTAAGGAATTCCAGAAGTCCCAGAGTTCTAAATTTTTAGAACTCTAAAATCCTAGAATCCTAAAATCTCAATGCCGTCAGATTATAGAATTCTGGAGCTCTAAAGTTTCAGGCTTTCAGAATTTCAGGATCTCAAACTCTTTGATTTTCAAGAACTCTAGGGCTCTAGAACCCTAAAATCTCAATGCCCTCAGATTCTAGAATTCTGGAGCTCTAAAGTTTCAGGCTTTCAGAATTTCAGGATCCCAAACTCTTAGATTTCCAAGAACTCCAGAGTTCTAGAATCCTAGAATCTCAATGCCCTCAGGTTCTAGAATCCTAGAATCCTAAAATCTCAACGCCTTCAGGTTCTGGAGCTCTAAAGTTTCAGGCTTTCAGAATTTCAGGATCCCAAAGTGCCAGGCTTGCAAAAACTCTAGAGTTCTAGAATCCTACAGTCCTAAAATTAAGAGATCCTAAAATCCTCTTACAAAAATTTTTACAAAGTTCCTAAAGTTCTGATAATTCTATAATTCTGAACTCTTTGAAGTTCTGAAATTCCACGAACTCCCGTGGCTCGTGTAACTAAAACCACCGAATTTCTGTTGCAGTTTCCCGCAGAAGATGGAGAGGCCGTCGCAGCATGCGGCGAGCGTGAACCAGGTGCACGGGAGCGGTATGCACGGCGTGTACTCGTCAGGCAGCCAAACGTCCCTGACGACGTCCTACATCACAGGCCAGTCGTACGTTCAGAACCAGAATTACGCTCACGGCCCGTACAACTCCACGCCGAACGTGAGGGTGTACGCCCACGCTGGCTACAATCAGCCCCAGAGCTACGGCGCCATAGTGCAGGGCTACGGTGGTCAGCCGCAGGCCTCAGGGTATCAACAGAATCATCTTAAAAAAGGACCTGTACGTAACGGAGACGTGCTGAAGAGATGCCGGCTGCAGAATGCGTAAGATTAATT